GGCTGTAAACTGTCTCACTCTCTGGACATAAACTCTCTGCTTAGCATAATTTACACAAAAACAACAGTTCATTAATTAATATTACCAAATGTTCATTAAATAAAGTTAATTAATTAAAGTTACCCAACATTTGATTTATAATGTAAAGTCATTTAAGGTGAATGTTGTGTTTGTTATGAATCCTTTATAAAACCTTTGCTTATTGACAGCAAAAAGTATATGAAAAGTGACTTATTTTAAAAGAAAATGAAAAGTGCACTTACTTTAAGAATAAATAACCTTACCTAAATATATTAGTTTATGTGTGCTTATTTATAATACCTTAAAATACAAGATTTGTTCAGGACAGTAGGAATTTGGCTCAGGACAGTAAACTTTGTTAGTTGGAAGAAAAGTTAACATCGAACCCTGCTAATCTTCTCTCACCTAATGAAAACTAATGTTACTTAAGTCCATATAGTAGATTCTATACTACTTAATGCTTAATGTCCTTACACTACAAATAGAGCCCACACAGACACATAAAAAAAAAAAAAAACATTTAAAGTTGATAAAATGAGGAACGGTTATATTGAAGAAATTACAAAAAGGGGTGTGGCTAATCAGGGAAAGGGAAGAGAATAATTAATAAGGGATGGAGGTCAGTTGGCTTGTTAAACAGCCTCAAATATCTCCAGAGCTGCCCGGATGTGAAAGTCCACAAAGTTCCACACTGCAGCAGCCAGAGATTCAGGTGCCGCATAAACATCTTCATCTCCAGCAAAGAGATCTTCCAGAAGGAGCAGTGCCTGAGTCTGAGAGAAAGAGAGTGAACAAAACAGTTAAAATCTAAAAAAAATTCTAACTCCTTCTCTCAGAACGGTTAGAATAAATTTCTGATGTGAGTGCTGTTCATGTGCATTTCACCTGGAGCAGGAAGAAGCAGTGCTCAGCCCTGGGATTTCTGAACTTGCTGGTGGGGGTGAAGGTGAAGAGCATGGCCATTAAGTGGTCAAGAAACCCTCCTGGACTCTGGAACAGCAAATGAGAAAATACAAGGAGTGTTTCCTGTATCAGATCTGGCTTTTGTGGAAATGGAAGGATAGAGAATCTAATTAAATCTAAGTATGTGGAATCAAGGTGCTGATACTACATCAGTACTCTGAGATGCTTCATACTGTGTGAGTCTCTAACATACAACACAAATCCACACTTTATTTTAAAACAGAGTCTCTTACCAGAAAAATCAGAGGCCTCGCTCCTCCTAGAACGCTCAGCACAACCAATTCAAAAACAACATCGATGACGTTGAAGTAATTAATCTGGAAACATGAGAAGCATTAGTGTCCTGGTTCATTTATGGTAAAAGCGTTGCCAAGCTGAAAGACCAAGGTATTGTGAACTCCAATCTGCACCAGCTCAGCAGAAATGACTCCACGAAGTGATGGGTTCTGAGTGAATGCCAGCAGTTGGTCGTAGGCCTGCTGGAACAGGGTCTGATCCTAGAATAGGAAGACATATGTCCTTTACTAATTCACAACATAATTCAGATGGGAGCATTTAAAAAAAACATTTTTTTTTATAATTCATATCTATAAAGCATACTAGATATACTGTACACCAGGGTTCTTCCAATTCCAGTCCTGGAGGGCAGCAAAGTTTGGTGATTTCCCTGTTCAAACATTCTTACTAAAATTGATAAGTTGAACAGATGAGTTGAACCAGGTGGGTTTGAGCAGGTAAATAATCACCAACCTGTGCTGGACACTGGCCCTCCACGACTAGAATTGAAAACCATGTCTATGAGTAATATGTGTTACCCTGGCATTCAGATGGGCCAGTTCACCAAGAATCCTTCTGCTTGCCTCACTGATATAACTGCAGCACTGACTGTCACTCAGGATGATCTATAAATCAGAGAAAAGGGTATCATCAACAAAGGGAAAGATGGTAGCGACACTAGTTTATGAAAAGAGAGTCACTGAGAAGTAAAAAAATCAAATTTTGGCTTACAGCAAAGGCCTGCCGCAGGGCATTCAATTTAAGAGGAATGCTACAAATCCTCTTGATGGTGCAGTAGTTACTGTGGCAGCAGAACAAATTTAACTTATGAGAACACATTGGATAAATGTCTTTAAAAATCATATTTAAATACACTAGAAACATTCAATGCAATAAATGTTAAAAGATACAGTACTTACTATAAAGCTGGCACCTTTATAGTCTCTATATTCAGTATTATATTAATTGTATAAGCATATTATCTATTCATATTGCTCTTGTCATTGTTTAGCTATCTTTAGTCTTGGCTCCTGTCATGGTTTCTTCCTCTTGTTCTTCACTTGTAGCCTGATTGTGCCACGGTAATTATGATAAAGATCACGTATACACTAATATAAAGTGGTGCATGCCTATTCCAGTCAATAGGGCAAAAAGGGGTGCAATTCCTGCCCACTTAAGTCTTGTGTCATCCAGTTAACAGCAGCAACATGTTTATTCTTAAAATAAGCTCACAGAAAAATGCGTTTTTAGGCAAAAAATAGTTACAAGACCCTGACAATCACAAAAATGGCCACAGGTTTTCTGTAATCCTAAAGGGGAAAATAATTTAGTGAAATTGGCAAAATGTTTCTGCTGATTTAAATGAGGCTTGGGCGAAAACCACACAACCAAGTCGGCATAAGATTAACTGAAACATCCAGTCTTTAGATTTGTTTATTTTCAAATTGTGTAGCGACCCAACTAGCACGTTAGCTTGCTAGCAACACAGCTAACCCTTAACTTTTTAGCTAGGACATTCGATGTGAACCTGATAACGTTATCTCACTTAATCTGTCATTTATTTATCGTTAAACAGACTTTATTTAAAGCTGTTCAAACCTACCTGTGCTGTGTTTGGGTGCACAGCCTACCGTCGGTGGTGGTCTGGACCTCCGCGTCCACGGTGGTGCTCTGCTGTCGATCTCGGCACCTGCGAAAAAAATAAACGGCTCCCGCGGTGGCGGCCGCAGCCCCAGCTGCGTACAGCAGGGGGCGCCAACAAAGCCCAGACGGGGCAGCACACATCCAAAGCGTCATCGTGAGTAAAGATAGAAACGCTGTGAGAGCTCGGGTTTGTCGCAGCTTCACCCTCGAGGGGTCGGTAAACCACTGAAGCTCCGTGTTCGATTTCACCCGTTTGTAGCGCTGACCGAACCCCGCCGTGCTCCGTTTACGGGCGTCACAATATGGCGCTCCAACGTTTCAATGTAAACCAGTTTTTACCCGTGAACGGTGTTTGGTCTCCATGGTAACGGAGAACCGAGCAAGATCGTGAAGTATCAGTAACATTTTAGTAAAATATCACAACAAAAAAGATGACATAGATATATAAATATATCAGATATATAGAAGTCCCACCCTCCTTTTATAAGTTAGCTTAAATAAAAAAGGCTGTATAAAATACGTCATACTGCATCTTACTAATTTATGATTCATCTTTCCCCATTTCTCTTTCATATATTGTTTCATACATTGCAGGCAGCATTCTAATATTGTTAGCTATCTATCTGTGTCCTTTATAAACCATCATCACTGTGACAAAAGTTGCGGTGACTCACATTGTTAATGTCCACTATATTGTGGTTTGTGAAGATTTGTTTGGACAGACGGTCATAAAGAGGATATTTTAGGGCACTCTGATGGGCTTCTCGGGTTCTACAGTACTACAATTACAGACTGTAGTCCATCTGTTTCTCTGCATATTTTGTTAGCCCCCTTTTACCCTGTTCTTTAGTGGTCAGGACCCCCATGGACCCTCACAGAGCAGGTACTATTTGGGTAGTGGATCATTCTCAGCACTGCAGTAACATTGACGTGGTGGTGGTGTGTTAGTGTGTGTTGTGCTGGTACGAGTGGATCAGACACAGCAGTGCTGCTGGAGTTTTTGAACACTGTGTCCACTCACTGTCCACTCTATTAGACACTCCTACCTTGTCAGTCCACCTTGTAGATGTAAAGTCAGAGATGATAGCTCATCTGCTGCTGCACAGTTTGTGTTGGTCATCCTCTAGTCCTTCATCAGTGGCCACAGGACGCTGCCCACAGGACGCTGTTGGCTGGATATTTTTCTGGACTATTCTCAGTCCAGCAGTGACACTGAGGTGTTTAAAAACTCCAGCAGCAATGCTGTGTCTGATCCACTCAGACCAGCGCAACACACACTAACACACCACCACCACATCAGTGTTACTGCAGTGCTGAGAATGATCCACCACTCAAATAATACCTGTTCTGTGAGGGTCCATGGGGGGCCTGACCACTGAAGAACAGGGTAAAAGGGGGCTAACAAAGAGCTGATAAATGGACAATGAGCGTAAAAACAAGGAGGTGGTCATATCGTCATGCCTGATCGGGGTAAATACTAGTACACTTTATTACAAACAACGCCTAAATTATTAAAACCACTGATTAGATAAAAAAAAAGCAATGGAAAAAATCTTTGCTGTTTTCATCAGACTGAAATTCAGAGATAAATCAATGTTTATATGTGATCAGTGTTTATATGCAAATCAAAAACAAATCCACAAGTAAGCAAATCCATAAGCATAAGTAAAAAACACATAAAGCTAGTCTATAATAAAGTGATTATTTAATTCATTAATAGTAGCCTAGTTGTCTGGATATTTAACCAGTAGCTTACATTATATTACTACTATTTATTAATTTATATTACTACTGCTCTCAAGCTGTAATTGGTTTATTATTTACATTTTTACATCCTGGAAAAGTGATCTCGCTTCACTGTTTAGTGTCACTAAAATCCATGCAAATCTGTACCAATTAGGAAGAACAAAGGAAATTCAATACTTTTGTAGTTTTATTTAGCATTTATTTATGCTTTATAGTTATTATAGCTCTATTTAAATAAATCAGTAACTTGATCTTATTTCCTTTAATGTGTTTGTGGATGATTTTTTTTGCAGGAAACATGTCTTCCCTTAAGGGGGCGTTTGTCTCCCCTGAACCCCTGTGAGAGAGAAAAGACCGCCCACCGCACCATGGCGACTAGCCATTAGGAACCGACTGGAACCATTAAATACCATTAGTGTACCATTACAGAGCATCCGGAAAACACAGAACTGCATTAGAAACCCCGTAGAGATTTCTGGGCTGTGAGTGGGGGTGGGGAGGGTGTGTTTTGTGGTTTGGGGGGCTGTGCTTGTTACGATTACATCGTGTAGACGGACTATCAGGAGCGGACAAGCTTGTACGGAGAAAATCCAGAGACTTTTTTAACCTTTTTACTTGGTTCCCTGCCCTACAGGACACAACACTGAGGGCTGCCTGACAGCAAACTCAGGACCAGCAGGCTGTATCTGCCCTGAAGATGTCTCGTCGGAAGCAGACAAAGCCAAACCCTCTGGAAGCTCTGGAAGGTAAGAGGGACAGCGGGCAGGCTACGGCTCCGCTCGCCGCTCCGAACAAATTACGAAAGGAACCCGTGCGGATATCTGGTAATGCAGACGAATATGTAGTGTCCGTTATCCGGTAACGCTACTTAAACCTCGGAAAATGTAAGAATCGCGTTTGTGTGTTTGCTGAAACAGTTTCCGTCGCGCGAGGAGTTTTCCTGTTGGAAAGTTTTAGCTAGTGGTCTTCCTTTGTTCAGCTAGCACACTGACTGCTGCTCCTGAGGGGATCACTAAACTCAGAGAGGGTAAGATAGTCTGACGGCACCTGGTTTCATACACATTACTTCCTGATACTAGGGGTGGGCCGAAGTCTCCTGATGAATTATGCTAAATTATGTCACAGTATGCTTGTGGATATTGTGAATATCGTCAGTACTTAAACACTGACTTAACTACATGTTTCACTGGACAGGGTTAGGATGTAAACAAGTATTGACAATACATATTCAGAATACAGAAACTTAGTATACTTTTAGAATACTTACCCACTACATATATATGTATGTATGTATATATGTATATATATGTATATACCATCTTTCAAAGAAGCACCATCACTGCTTATGTAACTTTTAAAATCAGTATGTAAAGACTTATTCTAAACAAGGACTCAAAAATGGCTTCTTTGCAAACACTGCAGTTCCTACTAAAGCCTGAGTAGACTGATAAATCTCTGTTATGAGCCAGTTAGTAAGCTCTTCTGAGGAAAGACTTAACTGAGTAGTGGACATATTCTCAAGTGATAAGCTCTGCTTTGGCATTGTACTGGACTTGTGCATGCATTGCGTGGCAGGTTACGTACATGTTATTAAATGAAACTCACAGCTACTCATAGTGAAATTGGCAAGATTTTGTTATTGGGATGTGGCGAATTGTTGGCTTAGGTCATGAAAGGGCAGTGAGATTGTGGGAGCAGCAGTGGACTGAAGCAGGCAAAAAGAGCCAAAATAACATTGAGAATTTTGCATTTATTTTTGTATTAATTTGGATAATTGAATTTTTCATGAATCATATTATGCCAACCAGTAACAGCAAAGAACAGTTTGAAGCAAATAAAAATGACAGCGTTTTTCCATGTACTTTATCAATATGTATTCTAAATGTATTTGGAATATGTTACTTTATGTATTGTAGTTGAATATATTACTCAATACATTTAGGACAGTATTCAGCCATCACTACTTTTTTGAAGTATTTTGCCCAAACCCTGATGTTTCATTACAAAGTAAGCATATTTAGGCCTGTTTAACTGGATTTAGTGGAGCTCAGTTTGTAAAACAATAAATAAAAAGCATTGTAGTTGTAGGTTTATCATTATTAGTATTGTTGTTGTTGTTGTTGTTACTGTTTTTTATAACCAACTTATTAAATCCAATTTTGTACAACATATTAAAGGTCACGAAAACTAAATATTATGATGCATATTGCGTATTGTGAAAACGTCTTGAAGTTTTGTGATATAGTATTTTTTGCCATGTCACCCACCCCTACCTGAAATGCGCAAGTAGTTTGTCATCGTGTTTGTTGAATTACATGACACGCAACAGCTGATGTCAGTGTTCTGTAGCTTGGATATGAGTGGCTTGTTGATAACTTTAGTGTGGTGGTTCTTACTACATTCTGAAGAGGACAGCCATTCAGCTTTTTCTGACTGCATCATGTTGCCATATATTACATTTTACAATTGCTTGCGGCTCTATTTTGTAAGTCCTTTTGAGCAGCAGATCAATGCCATGGCTACCTAAATGTGTTAATGTCATGTATAGCATCATTGGGCATTATAACCAGCACATTAGATGTGCTGGATGTTTTATTTAGGATAATGTCACTGCATCTCTCCAGCATATTTTCCTGATTGCTGCTCTAAGATCATTATAATAAAACGACTAATGGATCATGCATTAAAAAGCAGGAAATCCTCTAATGGTTTCCATCTGCTCAGAAAACCTTCCCTAATGGTTTCCATTAAGGTTTTTCCATCAGGATGTGGGCTAATGGATCCTACAGAGCTCCATTAAAGGCTTGCCATCAGGTTATGGTGCTTAATAGCGTGGCTGATGGCTGGGTTCCCCCGCTGTTGTTTTCCATTAGCCTTGTTTGCCATTAGAGAGTCTTTCCATTAGGATAGGCTGATGGCTCCTACAGGATGGCAGTGCTCTCAACCTCTTAATTCTATTAGATAGGGATTTCTGTATTAACCAGCGTACAATTTGTTGGTCTGTTTGTTTGAAAGGTTTTAATATGGACTTTGAGAAATCAAGAATTCTGTATCCTTACCTCGAAAGTGAGGAGAAAGAAACACCACTGCAGGGACACAGTGGATACTCAGTGGTAAGACCTTTGAATTAACTTTATAACATAATACAGGATAATATCATACAAAAAAGTTGGGACGTTGTGCAAAATGTAAATAAAAACAAAATTCAATGATGTGCAAATCATTAAAACCCTGCATTTAATTGAAAATAGTACAAAGACAACAAATCCAATGTTGAAACTAAGAAATGTTTCTTGTTTTTTGAAAAATATATGCCCATTTTGAATTTGATGCCAACAACATGTTCCAAAAAAGTTGGGACGGGGGCATGTTTACCACTGTTTTTCATCACCTCTTCTTTAACGACACAAGTGGTTGGGAACTGAGGAGACCAACTGCTGTAGTTTTGAAAGTGAAATGTTTTCCCATTCTTGATATAGGATTACAGCTGCTTATCAGTTCAGGGTCTCCTTTATCGGATTTTTCATTTAATAATGTGACAAATGATTTCAGTGGTGACTGAGTGGTCTAGACTGCAGGCAGGCCAGTTTAGCACCCAGTCTCTTTTAATACAGAGCCATGCTGTTGTAATACATGCAGAATGTGGTTTGGCATTGTCTTGCTGAAAAAATCAAGGCTTTCCCTGAAAAGGACGTCATCTGAATGGCAGCATATGTTGCCAAAACATGTATATATCTTTCAGCATTAATGGTCCCTTCACAGATGTGCCAGTCACTGATGCCATGTGCACTAATGCACCCCTATACCATCATGAATACTGGCTTTTGAACTGTGCACTGATAACAAGCTGAGTGGTCTTTAGCTTGGAGGACACAGCGTCCATGATTTCCACAGAAAAGTGGCCCACAGGACACTTTTCCACTTCCCCTCAGTCCATTTTAAATGAGCTCGGGCCCAGAGAAGGTGGCAGCATTCCTGGGTCCTGTTTATATATTCTTTGTGTTTAAGAGTTTTAATTAGCATTTGTGGATGCAGCGACTAACTCTTTTCATAGACAGTGGTTTCCAAAAGTGTTTCTGAGCCCAAGCAATGCAGAACTCAACTACAGAATCATGTTTGTTTTTAATGCAGTGCCGCCTGAGGCTCCCAAAGATCATGGCCAGCCAATACTGGTTTTTCGCCTTGTCCCTTGCATACAGAGTTTTCTTCAGATTCTCTGAATCTTTTAATGATATTATGTACCGTAGATGATGAAAAGCAAAAGTTCTTTGTTATTTTACGTTGGTAAACGTTATTCTTAAATTGTTGCACTATTTGCTCGTTCAGTTTTTTACTTCTGAAAGATTCAGCCTCTCTGGGATGCTCTTTTCATGCCCTAGTCATGGTACTGACCTGTTGCCAATTAACCTCCAGGTGTTTTTTTTTAAGCATTTTACAACTTTACCAGCCTTTTGTTGCCCCCATCCCATGGAATGTGTTGTTGGCATTAAATTCAAAATGGGCATATATTTTTCAAAAAAGCAAGAAAATTTCTCAGTTTCTACATTTGATTTGTTGTCATTGTACTATTTTCAATGAAATATTAGGTTTAAATGATTTGCACATCATTGAATTTTGTTTTTATTTACATTTTTGCACAGCGTTTCAACTTCTTTGGAAATGGGGTTGTAGATCATAACTATAGTGTTTCATTGAAATGGAGTAATGCATGCTGGAAAACTGTTCATTGTTTGTTTATTAGTTGACTGGTGATCTTGTGGCAACTTTTTAAATGAGGAAACTCACCATTTGTCAACCATTTGTAACACCATTTGTCAATTTGACAAATGAAATATGGAGTTGCTGAATATGTAATGTAGACGAGTTGCTCCAATAAGTTAAGTTAGGAGTTTACTGTTCTTTTTCAACCCTGACAGAAAGAAAAGAGCTCAACAGAATCAACATCTTATCTGGAGATCATGAAGAAGCAAATTGCTGAAAAAAGACAGAGGGATTTCTCAGACAGTGAAGAAGAATCTGTTGTGCCCTACAAACTTTACCAGGAACTTCAGGATAGCTATGTAATGCTGAAAAGGCGTCTCAGAGAGAAGGACATGGTTATCGCGGGGAAGGACGCTGTCATTAGGAAGCAGAGGCAGAAGTGTAAAAGGATGTCAGTGGAGCTGGAGAAAATAAGGAAACTGAATATATGCCTTCAAGAGCAACTTCTTTTGAAAGAAACAGGTTATTTATTTTTTTGACATATGAAAAAAAGTAGAAAAGAGTGATCTTAAATCATGACAGATCATTTAAATACATTCAATACATTTTATATTTATTTTTGGGCACATTGAGTCATTTTGTTGGGGCACTTCATATTTATCAGTTTGATAAAGACATAAATGTATTATATAGATGTGTACCTCACTATTGTCACAGGAACCCTTAGGACACAAACAATTGCCACAGAGACCACAGAACCCTCGTGGGACCCCACAGGAAATCTAATGTTTTCTGAAGTGGAACCCAAAATAGAACCCCCAGCTGAGACTCTAGAAGAAAATAACTGTGGCCAGGTAATTGCCATCAGCTCATCTTTTTCTCGGTAACATTGTCAGAAATCTCATACATTCTCAATATCATGCGAGCTGCATGTTTCTCTTGGTAGTAGGTTATGGCAAGAGAACATGCCTTATATTTAATTCTAATTCTCTGCTTATTTTTTAAGGTCAGCCTTGGATGTGGGGTTTTTTTGGACAAACAAAAGTGGAACGTTATTCAAAGAATGGACTCTCATTCTAAGTTCTGTAAGTCCTTGGCCGTAGCGATCTGGGGCATCGAGACGCTGAAGGAAAGGACTGTGACTGGCTCCAAATCCAACGCTGTCAAAGGGTCTGTGGCAAAACCGCCATTATCTCCAGAGAAAGTTGGTGTCATCAGAGGTATTAACATGTTAATAAGGAATACTGAGATCTTTTCTAATTATTTGGTGAGCACTGGTAGGTTGCATAATTTATTGTTTTATCTCTTAAAACTCACTGTTTTCCCAACTATCAGCCAGGACAATTACTAACCACTTACTGTTAGTACTGCTGTGACTGTTACTGGCTCTGTCAGTGGTATAGTTTGATAAATTAGTTTGATATTTCAACTGTAAATCATCACGTCTTCAGTAATGTTTATAATTATTTCTCAAACCAAGACTGCCTGAAGGAGCGTCTTCAGCGGCGCGGCTATCAGAAGGAAGCAGTTGACGGGCAGCTGCGTTTGGTGCGACGTTTTCTCTCTGAGAAAATTTGCGATATCAAACGAAAAGCTGGTATAATTCCAGAGGTGAGATTTCTTTGATGTAATGTTTGGTTTCTCATTTTACAAAAATCAGAGAAGTGTGCTGATGACCTGTTTTACTGTTGTAGGGAACCAGCTCCAGTCCCTCCATTGATTTACAGAAGTGACCTTTTCCCTCCCTGAAGTCCTCCTTTGGTTCTACTATTAAGCACTACAAGCGCAACTATTCCAAAGAAGGTAAAATCAGGAGTTACAAATGTTTGTAAACATAAACAAAAAAATAAATAAAAATAAAACCCTATGGTTTTATTTGATCGATGGAACAACATTTCTGTGTCTTACAGTGTCTGTCTGTTTGCCTGTCTGTCTGTCTGTCTATTTATCCATCTGTCCATCCATCTATCCATCCATCCATCCATCCATCCATCCATCCATCTCTTTGTTTGAAAAGTAGTCAGTATCTTCCACAATACCATGATGTTTTAGCCTGGCTATGTGATATATGTTCAAGACTGGCCTTGTGTACTTCTTTCTCTAGACCAGGGGTCTGCATTGCCAGGTGGTCTTCTCCAGTGGGGAGCCAGCTGAACAATCGCATAAAATGTGTTTGTCCTGTGTTTATTCAGCTATGAATTTCTAGCTGTATATATTTAAGAAAGTTTTTGACTTCTTTGTCAAAGAGAGGCTAGCATTTGCCATCAATGGCAAGCTAGCACATATCCAGGCTTCCTTTGTTGATATACTGTACAAAGTCTAGTTTGTGTTTTAGGCCTATAATTAGTCAATTGGAAAAACATTTTATGCCCATGTACTGCAACTATTTAAGAAAACCAAGTTTCATTAAAGGTAATACCAAAACACAGAAAAGCCTAAATTGATTTGAGGGCTGTATTTAAGAGTAAAGTTAAGGACTTTATAAACCTGCAAGCTCTGCCAGATGTGGGCTGGTTGTTTGAGACCCCTGCTCTAGACTCCTGGACTGAAGTGTAGTGTAAAGATCTTATGTGCATTTTTTTATACACAGTAGTACTGTAAGAACAGTCAGTGGGTAGCAAGTAATCTCAGCTGACATGGTAAATTCCAGTTCCCAATGTATCTTCAGTATATGTTCCACAAAAGGCCAGTTTGATTCCTCTACTCAGGATTACATATAGTAATAATTATTGACCTTTTTCATTTCAGAGTCTATTGTTGCAAAACTAAGGACAGACGTGGCCAGCACACTGGACACTATATTAGTTGCAGAGACGGGCAGTATTTCATGTACAAGTGAATTTTGTTGTGTGTTTTGCATTTCAGTTACATGTAAATCTGAATTGTGTTGTTTTGTATTTTATTAATACAAATGATTATTTACCACACAGTCAGTGGTATAAAAACAAATGTGTCTGTACATATGAGCCAATATGCATTTGTGTGCCTTTCTCTTTATTTATAAAACTCATGATGTAATTTTTAAGGTATTACACTCATTATTTTGATAATTACTTTTTGCTTTATGTTGTTTTCCAAAAAAAAAGGATTAGGAGCTGTTTCTGAACATTCTACTTGAAGAGCTCATCACCTGTCTCTGTCATGTTATTTTGTGTGCATGAATGAATATTTAATTAATTTTTATCAGTGTAAAAGGCTAATACAATTAAATATGCCATGCAATCAAACAGTATTTCAATATTTTAGAAATAGAATCAGTAAACTGAATGTGCAATTTAAATAAATGAAATGATGACAAACAAAATAAATTACATGTCTTTAAGTGGCAAGCGCCCCCGGCTTGGGGCTCTAATCGACTGCTAATACAGCGAGAAATTTCCCTGATTAGAGGTTTCAGTACATTTGTGAGTGGGAGTGTAAGATTATGACAGATTTCCCTCACTAATGATGACCTCACATACTTTGTACCTGACACTACAAACAAAACACACACAAAAAAAACATTATGAAACAGAATGCTAAATGCTTTTGCTGAAAAACCTTAATTTTGTAAAACCAGTTTGGTTATACCCACTTTGTTATAATCCCACATTATTTTTCAGATATTATCTACAGTGAGCTGAAGCAGTGAATCTGCTTGAAAATGAAAATATTAATAAACCATTTAGAGCTCTAAAATGTGCAGTGCAAATGTCTTTACTGCTGCGAGTAAGATGAATACTGGATATGATAGTGGGATTTTTTGGAGTAAGGTTGTTTTACAAAGTATAAATTCCATAAACAAATCGAATACTGGTGCCACAAACAATTTTTTACAATTCTTAGTAGAAGACCTGTACAGGCAGTACTCTGATGTGGCCAGTAGATGGTATTAAAGGCACCGAAATAAGGCAACACCAAAGTAAACAGAAGGTGCTGGGGAGATAAATTCAGATGTATATTTAATCAGGCATTAACTGCAGAAGGTACACAACAATACCATAATAATAACAAAAATACACAGCACTGCAACATACAACACAGTTTATCTCCATCAAATCTTCTTTAAACCACAAAATAATATATGGATTTAGGGCTCTACATCTTTTTATGGAATACCTGAATAACATCATCATCTCTTTCTTTCTCCCTCTCTCTGTCTCTCTCTCATTTTAAGGTGATGTTTTACATTTTCAAAGCATTAGACAAGTGAGATGAAGCACAGTCAGTGATCCAAATAGTCCTTAGGCAGCTAATCCTGAATGAGAATGGAAATTGTGTGAATAAACTGACCCATATTTGAATACAACATATGCGGCATTTTATTTTGCATGAGAATTCCATGACTATGGAATGATAAACATTTGGGAGATGATCTCTTTTAGTGGGGGAGGGAAAAAGAGAGAGAGAAAAGGGGGGCTTCCTAAGACTACAACCAGTGGGAGTCTGCCTTTGTTTGTGCATTAATTATTTAAAAAAAGAGACTAAAATATATGGACAGCTCTGTTAAAAAAACAGTCCTCACCGTGAAGAATACTGGATTTTGGATTCAGTCGTGGAGATAGTTCAGCATGCAAACCTTAGTTTTGGCTGAAACGAAACCAAAAATGATTCTTGAATGTGAGTGGTCACAAATATAATTCATTAATAATGGAAGAAATAGACAGGAAATGTTGTAAACATTTGTTTATAAGCATGTATCAGCTGTTATCCAGCATTTTCAGAGATATGGATCAAGCAGACAGTTAAAGGTATATTCACACATTCCCAAAATTTTTACTGCTTTAGATTTTAAAAATGACTGTTTGCTTAATGTGAGCCAAAGTACTTGGTTTGATTCTGTTCTTTACAAATGATAAAAATTTTAGGATGCTTAATCTACAAAGACAATTCCAAAAAAGTTAAAACAGTAGCAATGATTTGCAAATCCTTTTTGACCTGAATTCCAATGAAAACAGTACAAAGACAAGATATTTAAAGTTTCAACTAATTACCTTTGTTGTTTTTTGAATATATATGTGTATTCTAAATTTGATGTCTGCGAAATGTTTCCAAAACATTGGGACAGGGGCGTGTTCACCACTGTGTTACATCACCTTTCCTTCTAACAGTGTCCTGTAATCGTTTGAACTGAGGACACCAATTGTTGTAGTTGTGAAAGTGACTTTTTTCCCATTCTTGCTTGATATAACACGTCAGCTGCTCAGCAGTCCAAAGTCTTTGTTGTCATATATTGCACTTCCTAATGCACCACATGTTTCAATGGGGGACAGGTCTGAACATCAGACAGGCCAGTCTAGCACCTGCACTCTCCTACTACAGAGCCATGCTTTTGAACATGAGCAGAATGTGGCTTCACATTGTCTTGCTGAAACAAGCAGGAATGTCCCTGAAAAAGAAGTTGTCTAGATGGAAGCTTATGTTGCTCAAAAATGTGCATGTACCCCTCAGCATTAGTGGTGCCTTCAGAGATGTACATGTTACCCAGGCCATTGGCACTAACACCCTCATATCATGACAAATGCTAGCTTTTGAACTTTGTGTTCACCTTCTGTTTTTTTTTTTTAAACAGTTCAAAAGGTGGGCTCATCAGTCCACAGCACTCATTTCCATTGTCAGCACTCACTCTCACTCATCTCTGATGAACTTTAGCCCAGAGAAGTCAGCAGCGTTTCTGGATGCTGTTGGTAAATGGCTTCCGCTTTGTTTAAAGGAGTCTTAACTTGCATTTGTAAATGTAGTGATGACCTGTGTTTGCTGACAAGGGGTTTCCGAAGAATTCCTGAGCTCATATGGTTATATTCATTACAGGATCATGTCGGTTTTTAATGCATTGTCATCTGAGAGATCGAAGGTCACAGGCATTTGATAATGGTTTTTCGGCCGTACCCTGAAAGATTACTCTGGATTCTCTGAATCTTTTAATAATTTTATGGAGTGTCGATGGTGAAATCACTAAATTCTTTGCAAATGTTGTTCTTAAACTGTTGGACTATTAGCTCAGTGGCGACTGAGCCTTTTGTGATTGCTCTTTTATATCCTATTATATAAAATTTTCCTATTATTTTATATCCTGTTACAGTAACTATTACCTGTTACTTACTCACCTGTTTTCCTTTTTGATCATTCCTCAAACTTGCCAGTCTTACGTTGCTCCTGTCCCAATTTTTTTGGAATGTGTCATATGCATCAAATTTAGAATTAGTGTATATTTACAACAATCAGTAAAGTTGATATGGTAAAATGTTAAACAAATCCCTGCTTTCTGTTTTATTTGCATTTTACCTTCTGTCCAATTTTTTTTGCATTTGGGTTTGTACTGTTATCTTTTTAATATAGACTACAAAAGTATGTAGACATCTGGACTTCACAGTGATTTGTGCTTGTTGAACACTTCATTCTAAAACAGCCTCCACTCTTCTGGAAATGCTTTTCACTACATTGTGGATCATGGCTTCAGATTGACTTCTATTCAGCCACAGGAGCATTAGTGAGGTTAGCACCAGTGTCAGGTGATAAAGTCTGGCTCACAGTTGGCATTATGGTTCATCCCAAAGGTGTTGGAAGGGGTTGAGGTCAGGCCTCTGCATAAGCCAGGCGAGTACTTCCACACCAAACTTAGCGAATAATTTCTTTATGGACCTTGTTTTGTTCCCAGGGGGCACTGTCACGCTGACACAAGAAGGAATCTTCCCCAAACTGTTACCACAAAATTGGAAGCAGACAAATCTCTAGGATGTAATTCTGTGCTGTATAGCATTAAGATTTCCCTTCATGGGAATTAAGGGGCCTAAACCATGAACAACAGACCATTATTCCACCTCCACCAAACTTTACAGCTGGCACTATGCATTCAGGCAGGCAGGTACATGTTTCTACTGCTGCAGAATACAGTGATTGTGTGCTCTACATCACTCCAGCTGACATCTGACATTGCACCTGGTGATCTTAGGGTGGTATGCAGCTGCTTGGCCTCTGAGACCTAATTCATGAAGCTCCACACAATGCTAACATTGGTTCCAGAAGCAATTTGCACCTCATTAGTGACTTTTGCAAATGAGTTTACAAACCTTAACACTTGGCAGTCCTGTTCTGTGAGCTTGTGTGTGTCCGACTGCTCCGCGACTGAGCTGTTATTGCTCTGTGACCTTTGCACTTTACAATAATATAATTTACAGTTGACCTGGCCAGCTCTAAGAGGACAAAAAGATCACTTTTTGGAAAGGTGGCACCCTATGACAGTGCCATATTGAAAGTCACTTCAGTATGACCCATTGAGATTGCATGACTATATGCTTGATTTTATGTAGATGTTAGTAATGGAGGTCGCTGAAATATCTGAACACAATAATACATGTGGCCATGTAGTGTATGTGAGGAGAACCTTTGAATGTGTTAATGTGCTCATATTAGAAAAATATATTAATATACAAGATGTGAAAACTTTCTCTTTCACAAGTGATTTTTGTAAAAGATGAAAGTGCAACAACATGTCGCTAAATTCTTTGCATACTTTCTATGTGAGAGTACCTGCAAAACATGATGCTCTTTGCAAAATACACCTTGTGTTTTCCTTCAGCTGCTTCAGTGTGTTGCTTCCAGCAATTAGCAAAGATACACTAAAATATATTCTGATACAAACGAGAAAATACATTTTTTTAAAAAGCATTACTTTTGCAGAGCCAGCTTGTTTACAGTAGCACATTGTGGCACATAACCACTGACTGACATTGCAGTGCTTAAATTGCGAAACAGGACTAATGAGCTCTCCACAAATCCAGGGAAAACTTCATTCTTCAGTCCTCCACTTCCTGCTTTTGACACAGTGAACCACCAGATAAACTTTCAGATGTGGGCATCATCTGCTCTTGTTTGGTTTTCATCTTATCTTCAGGATCAGTCCTACCAGGTAGCCTGAAATGGCTCATTTCCAGGGGTCAGTTCTTGGACCAGTTCTGTTTTTATAAGTCAAGTCTCTGGAATGTGTGATAAGAAATGTCTTTTCTTCTCACTGCTACACTGATGACACCCAGCTGTAC